GGTTAGTTGATACCTTATAGAATTCGTACGTGGTTATAAATGATAGTTTACTACCAAAAGGACCTGTGTACCTGGGCAGTGGAAGCTCTTGGATGTGGTCGATGCGGACTATCTGTCGGATGCAGAAGCGACAGAGGTGCTGTAGAGACTTCACATTGCTGAAGCGGGACACGGGATACAGCAGCTGAACGGGAGTGGGTGGAAGCCCTGAAACGAACATCAACAACTCACATTCCGACCCGTTCTGACCCCATCGGCCTGCGCAAACATCGAGCAAAGCAACATCTCCTCGCTCTGTTCACACCGTTGGTCTCCAGAGTCCTTAAGTTTAGTGCCGAGTCAGCACTGTGGTGGTTTCGTTTACACTACTTCTGCCCCAGGTTCAAGGCAGTAATAAAAATCCCTAATCTGAAATTAAAATATCTAGCATTTGTGTGCGTGCGTGTGTGTGTGTGTGTACTTTTCTCTCTTCTACCTGGGACTCTGGAGCGGAGGAAGTAGAGGAATTTGCCGTTCTTGGAGTGCATGATGGCGCGCTCGATGAATTCCACCACAGAGTGGCAGCGGTCTTCAAACTTGGGGTGACACCACAAGCTGAATGTCCCTGAGGAAAAACAAGATTTTTTTTGTCAATGGATGTGTCATGAGTAACATTTTAATATCTGTAAATCAACTCAACAGTAGAAATTGGCCTTCAGTTCAAGTCCACTAAAAGAACAAAAACTCCTGTAGATGTTCATTATTACAGTATACTCAATCATCATGCAGCTTTCAGGATGTTGTTTTTTTCCCTTAATTAGAACCTTTATTCTTATTTGCTCCTATAAGAGGGGAAATGGAAACGCTGGTCCTTAATTCTAAGGTCAATTCAGAGTCTCTTCTTAATCTAACATGCATGTTTTTGGACTGTCGGAGGTAGCCAGAGTACCAGGAGGGAACATGAAAACCTCACACAGAAAGCTTGGAAAACAAGTATTGTCCAAAGTATCCCATTGGTCTATTAATGTTCTATATTTTATTGACTGGTGACCCATCCAGGGTGTACATATTCTCCTGCAACCGTGTCAAAGTATTGAAGAATTTCAGATTAAAATGTTCAAAAAGACATACCAAACCTGTGAAAAACAGTCAAAAGTATCAAAAAACAAACATTTAAATTAAACAAAAAATAACATGTAGAAAAATAGGTGTACAAAATTACTCTTGTCAATACCACAATTAAATTAGTTCTTTTTTTGCCCCCAGATAAGAATTTGATTTGGAACTTGTAACAAATCTCCATCAAGTGCTTTTGCTATAAAGCATAAGCTGAGTTTTGGGAAGAGATCCTGAGCTGAGTTTGGGCTTAAGATGTTTACTACCCTGAGGCAATAACCATCTTAAACCCAAATTGAGCTTATTACCTCTTTTAAAGTTGCACTTCCTGTTTTTAAGTTACGGTGCATTGTTCGTCCGTCTCTCTCTCAAAAGCTTTTGAAGGTTTTCACTTGATTTTTTCTCATCTTATTTGCCTCGTTCCACTAAAAGGTTGTGAGTATGAAGGCATTACCCAACTAGACTTCATAGCTGTTGTTCTAATTGTTATTTTTTCTATTTTTTAACTAGATTTTTATGCTGATTTTTTAGTTTTTATGTCAGTGACACACATTGTGAACCGTATTTAGGTTTAAGCAATATAGTATTGAGAATTGATGAATATGTACAATGCACTGTCCCTGTCAATTAATTAAGAAATTTAAAAAAAAAAGGATGTGAATGTGTGTGTTTCACCTCGGTAGTGCTCCATGCGAGTGTGATGCGTGACACCCTGGGATCTGAAGCTGAGGCTCAGGATGTATCGAGGGTCCGAGCTGTCTCTGACCAGGAAGGAACCGTCTGGCTTCCCCTTCAGCTTCATCTCCGCATCTTCCCAGTTCATCGGACCCCAATACCAGCCGCACTGCAGACAAAAGACCCCAACAAAGCATTCAGGAACTCTGGGAGAACTTATCCCAGTGTTGCCCTGTACGATCCCCAGAGTGGAGATAGAACAACGTTAAAGGATGAAAAGCTCTCATTCAGACGTGGTAATCATCATAATCATGAGACATGTATTGTTTTTACTGAGAACTGTACTTTTTTGTAATACTGTTATAGTGATTTTCAAAGTTTTGTGTGACTATATTTGTTATTCTAAACTACTGATCTTTAATAGCTCCTTCTAGTCATCTCGTCCTTCATCAAACTGAGTTTATGCCCCACAGAGAAGAGAAGTTGGGGATTATAACTGTCTTTCTCTGGTGAGTTTCAGAATGAGTGAGGAGAGAAGTTGATTATGACGAAAATCATGTAGTCAAAGTGATAAAAAAAAGTCATGATTAGCTCATGAAAAGCTGCTAGTTTTTTTTCCTTTTGAAGTTCTTTTCGCTGTTGATCCAAACCTTCTTTTTGTATTCTATTCTATTTTTCTTTTTTTCTTTTCAGTGATTTGAACAGATTGTTTATGTGAAAGGTTCTAAACTGTTTACATTATTTATTTATTATAGTGACTTAGCAATTTGTCTTCATACATTTGTATGAAAGAATTTGCGTTCGTTCAAGACTGTTATGAAGATTAAAGATTAAAATATCCAGCAAGTGTCCCCGAGGAGGCAGCTAAATTTCCCACCTGACAGTAACTCAGAGATATAAATGCCATGTCAGCATGCACTGGCCAACGCCACATAGAAATCAACATGTAGATAAATAAGAAATTAATCCGAGTCTCTGATCGGAAGCTGAGTCTACAGGACTGTCTCAGAAAATTAGAATATTGTGATAAAGTTATTTTTTTCTGTAATGCAATTAAAAAACACGAAATCTCATACATTCTGGATTCATTACAAATCAACTGAAATATCGCAAGCCTTTTATTGTTTTAAATATCGCCTGATTATGGCTTACAGCTTAAGAAACCCAAATATCCTATCCTATCTATTACAGAAAATAAAGAACTTTATAACAATATTCTCATTTTCTGAGACAGTCCTTTACAGTCTTACCTTCTCCAGCTCTCGCAGACTGGCCGTGAAGTTGCTGGCCTCTGACCGCCGCAGGGCGCACAGCACTGGGGGCGGAGCCTGTCTGGACGGCGGGGGGGCGTCATCTGCCGATGGGTTCGAGTGCGGAAGGGCTCGGAGGAAAGCGTCTAAATCGGACCATTTAAAGTTGCAAAATCAGGCGTTTTCGGTATCGAGAAACATGGCTGAAT